ATAGATTGGAGGTAAGGGAAGGGACATAATGAAGAGTAGAAAGGTGGTATTTACCATTAGGAGTATGGACAAAACCTGAGCCAGAGTGTGTGATGGGTAGGGATTGACCATTGCCTACGGTAATAGCATCAGTACCGGTGTATTGATGAGGAGATTGTAGCTGAGAATAATCAGACGTGACATGGGTGTTGGCACCAGTATCCAAATACCAGTTTGCAGAATGATTACTCGTAGATGCATGCATTGCACGGGGAGCACTAGAGGAGGAGTTCGCAGTATAAGAATCATCAAATCGATACCAGCACGCAGACGCAGAGTGACCTCGTTTTTCGTAGATTTGGCAGGTTGGCAGATCCCGTGACGGTCGACCGTTTCCCTGGGACGGTCGACCGTTGTTCCTTTCTCCACGTCCGCTGTTGTATCCACGTCCAGGTGACGGTCGACTGCGGTAGCCTCCTCTACCGCGACCTCGACCGTTTGTAGCGAGAAGTGCTGTGCGAGGTTCGGTGATGGTAGACTCGGTGAGGCTGAGTTTATTCTCCATCTCCAGGTTTATTTCTTCGGAGATCAGCCATCCAGAAAGCTGATTTAATGAAATGTTGGTATTGTTCATGCGAATGTTTTGCTTAAAGGATGAGTATTCGGTGGGAAGACCACGAATAACAGCATTCACCACATCACGTTCAGGGATCTCTTCTTTCAAGGCATCGAGATCCGAGAGAATAGTTGCCGCATCATCAAGGTATTGTGTCATAGTTTTGGTACCTTTACGAAGAGTGTGGAGTTTGTCCCGAAGCTGATAAACATGAGCGGTGGACACGGAGTTGTACCGTGCGGCCAAAGCATCCCAGAGGGCAGCAGGTGTGGTGAAGCCGCGAGCATGTTTGTGAACGGAGGGGCTGATGACCGCTAGGAGGCAGGCGCGGATCTGTGTGTCAACGATGGTCCAGGAGGTATACTCTGGATTAGGGACGGTTTTATCGTTTTTGGAGATAGTTGGCGCCGGGGCTGCTTCATGACCATCAATCCATCCAAGGAGGAGATTAGCTGAAAGAGCTGTC